ATCATTCAGGGGGGAGGTCTTTAGCGCACAAAGTGATGACCCAGGGGTATTTTTGGCCAAACATGTCATAAGATGCGGAGGAATTCTCAAGAAGGTGTGATAAGTGCCAAAGGTTCGGACCACTGATCCACCAACCACCAGAAGACTTGCATGTAATGGCCAAACCATGGCCTTTCGCGCAATGGGGGATGGATGTGGTTGGACTGCTACCGACTGCCAGATCACAGAATAAGTTCGTTTTGCTTGCAACAGACTACTTTACCAAATGGGTGGAGGCAAAACCATATCCCAGCGTGACTCAGACACAAGTGAGGCGCTTCATTTGGAGTAATATTATCTGTTGATTTGGTGTGACGAGGTCGATTGTTATGGACAATGGGACTAATCTTGATAGCAAGCAAGTGAGGGAGTTGTTGGAAGAATACGGAATCAACCAAAAGTTAGCAGCGGTCAGCCATCCACAGGCAAATGGTCAAGCTGAGATCACGAACAAAACGATCTTTGCTTGTATGAAGAAGAAGCTTGAAGAAGAAAAAGGGAAATAGTTGGATGAGCTCTTGAACGTCCTGTGGGCCTATAGAACAACTCCGAGACGACCGACCAGAGAGAGCCCATTCGCCATGGCGTATGGTACTGAGGCAGTAATACCGGTCGAGCACCTAATTCCCACCATTCGAAGCCTAGCATGGAATCAAGAGGAGAATGATCACATGTTGAAATTCAACCTAGATCTGCTTGAAGAGAAGAGGGATGCAGCGGCAGTAAGGCTGGGATCATATCAGCAGACGCTTATGAACAGTCACAACAGAAAAGTGAGTCATAGGGACTTTGCACCTAGTGATTTGGTTCTAAAAAGAAAGGTTGGAATTGTCAAGAAAATGGTGTCACTTTGGGAAGGACCGTATAGAGTTGCAGAAGTCATAGGGAAGGGGGCATATGTCCTAGAGACTATGGCTGGAAGGCTGGTAAACAAGCCATGGAATGCCACATCTTTGAAAAGGTATTACCAATAGAAAATTGAATATTGAGTTCCAGTCTGGGCAGTGTTTATGTCCAATTGTGTGCTTGCGAATGTATAAAACCTCAAAAGATATATAGAAAGTATTATTTTCTTCCAAAAAGGTGACCGAGAGCTAGGCACTTAAGCAAAGTAAGTGGCAGCTGGCACAATGAGCCGAACGCCAAACACTTGCTAAAAATAAAAAGCCAAGTGGCTAGTGGCATTCTAGCCAAGCGCTAGGCACTTAAGCAAAGTAAGTGGCAGTTGGCACAATGAGCTGAACGCCAAACACTTGCTAAAAATAAGAAGCCAAGTGGCAAGTGGCAAGTGGCATTCTCGCTGAGTGCCAGGCACTTAAGCAAAGTAAGTGGTAGCTGGCACAATGAGCAGAACGCCAAACACTTGCTAAAAATAAAAAACCAAGTGGCAAGTGGCATTCTAGCCAAGTGCCAGGCACCTAAGCAAAGTAAGTGGCAGCTGGCACAATGAGCCGAACGCCAAACACTTGCTAAAAATAAAAAGCCAAGTGGCAAGTGGCATTTTGGCCGAACGCCAGACACTTTGTTAAAAAAGATATTAAGAAGCAACAATGAGATGTTAAAAGCACTATAAGACAAAAATTGGTCAAAAAACTTCCATTTCATTGAATTTATAATCAATTTACATTTACAAGGACTGTTTTGACAAAACAAGTACAATGCAAAAGGAAAGTGATATACTTCCAGGATGTTAGTCAGTCCTGCCTATTCCCTTGGTCTCTTGACCGCGCTCAGAGTTCCCTTCAGTTTCATTAACTGTACTCTCCCCGCCGGGGGGAGAGTCAAGTTGAATGATTGTTCCATCCTGTTGGGCGCCACCCTCAGCAGCAGGTGCAGGGGGAATCACGGAGGTCAAAAGGGGAACGTCCAGAGGTTGGACAGTCGAGGGGATAGGAACGACCCTCGAAGCAACAATTTCTTAGCACTCATCAAAGATATGTTCGGCAGGAGTAGGCTCTAGGTCAGCATAGACTCCAGCAGGGCTAATATTCAGCTCCTTGTCAACGTCATTAGGACCTACATAAAAGCTGGTTTGACCTTCAGGAGGAGAACGGTCGGTATAGCCGTCTTTGTACCCTTGAGCATACCTGAGGGCTCCAGTCCAAGAGAAATGAGTATGAAGAGCCCTCATCCCACCATCAACCCTGCTAATGACACCAAGCAGGGCGTTGCGTTCATCTAGAGCCCTCTTCTCAAAAGCCATTCGTTCGGTCTGTTCATCAGCCAGCAAGCACTGGAGATTTTCTTTTTCAGCTCTCAAAGCTTCCTGCTCGGTCTACAAGATGCTCTTCTCGAGCTGGAGAGCGTTCTTCTCGTACTGAAGAGAGTCCGAATCTTTCTTCAAAACGTCTCTCTTTCTCAACATTATGTAGCTGCACCATCAAATCGGCATTCTGGGTGTTGATGATCTTGCTTTCTTTGTTGGCCACCTCAAGTCCACTGGCAAGCCTGCGTGCCCGAGCGTTAGCCGACTCAATGTGTTTTTGCATCATCATCATGCCAAACAGAGTCTGCAGACAGATGCACGAATACTAATTAAGCCGAACGTATATTCAGATAAGTTAAAGTATGAAAGCATTCTGAAATTAGCTAAGTGAAGAAAGAGAATTACCTCCATTGCTGCCAGAGGAAAACGGCTAAACACCTCCTTCTGAGTCAAAGCCTTGGCCACCTCAATATCTTTAAGGGACCATAAATGCTTGTAGTAAGCCATAGCGGTTTGACCCTCCTTGAACATCGTGTCGTTTGATTGGACGATCGATCCATCTGAGCGAATGAATCGGGGGGTCCAGGGAACTAATCCTGAAGTAGAGGCGTTAGCTCCACCAGACCCAGGAGGGACGGTTGTCCTGTTCTAGGATGATGTGGGCGCGCTCGGCCCAGAAGTTCGAACCCTCCTTGAGAGAGGAACATCATCGAGATTGGGTTCACTATCAGGTTGGGGTCTTTTTCCTTGTTCTTTGTCCTGAGCAGATGCAGTGATGGCCGAAGTGTTGCTAGCCCGGGGGGCAATGTTCGGATTGACAGGCAATGCATTGGAGATTGGATTAGTGGCAATCACCACATCCAAAGAATTGCTGGACATAGTGGCAGAAGAGGATGCCGAGGCTGGAGAAGAAGCCGGGGCAGAAGCAACAATATTTCTAGGAGGGTCTTTCCTCCTGCTGAAGGAAGGAATCCAAAGTTGACTCATGGTGCTGCCGAGGAGTGAGATGTCAGCAAGGTTCTCGGACACAAAAAGATCAGAACAGTAAGGAACGTTGTTCAGAACGTATACCTTCAGGTAGTTGATCCTATCCCTGCAAATACCGTAGCTTAATTCGTTATAAGGAATACCCAAGGAACGGCATAGAAAAGTACAGCAACGAGGAGTGCAAACTTCACAAGGGCAATCACTTTTGTGGGTTTTGTATTTTTGGTATGAGGAGACAGAACATTCACCAAAGGCGGTCGGGATAGGGTAATCCCTAGTAGCCGGAGCAAACCAGGCCCCTCTAACCCCAACTATGCTGTCCTTCCAACCTTTCTCCGAGTCAAGTTTGTCCTTACAGATTGACCTCTTTTCGATAGGGTAAAAATGATAATACATGTCGTTCAGCCTGATCTTATTGACCTTGTAACAAAGGAGAAGATCTATAATATCCAGATCCAGACCCCTGTCACGGTTCAGAAGTAGCAGAACGGACAGAACCCTAAGAAAATTGGGGTTCACTTGAAGAGGGGAAAGCCCCAACCTATTAAAAACGTAACTGAAGAAAGAGTGCAGAGGGAATCTAATAACATTTAGATGAAGAAGGGAAAACAAGATCTTGCTGGGAAGAAGGCCGGTGCCAGTCCTAATATCCACATTACTAGGGCACTCCCTAATGTGAATGTCACTAGGAAGTTGAAGTTTCATACGAAGAATATCTAAATCAATGGGCATGGCGAAAGCGAGTAGAGGTCACAAGAAAGTATGTAAAGTTTTTGTTTTAGAAGAAAGAAAAAGAGAAAGAAGAAGATGAAGGAAAGCGAAACTAACCTTGACAGAGTTTAAGATCGCAAAAGCGCGGCAGGACAACTGAAAAGGGAAAATCTTGTGCGAGAATTCACCGACGAGGACTTGATTTGCTTGGAAGGGCCAAACAGTAAAGTTGATTGATAGCGATGAGTGATAAAGACAATAGAAAGATGTATGAGTACGGGCTCCTTGGTTTATAAAGAGAAAGTGAGCCCAAAAAGCCGAGACGTCAGGAGACTGAAAGGTTTTCGAAATTCAAAACATTGATTCTTGAGCCGACCACTCACTCCCCCACGTGATCATCTTGAGACGCCGAGTCATGATTGATTGCCATTAATAATCACACCCTAATTAATTAGGGAGTGATTATGGGGGCAGTTGAGGACACCAAGTACGGTGCGGATCGGATACAGCCTACATGACACAAAATGGGCCAAGTAGGTGATCCTGATCTGAACCAACCAGTCTCAAGCTAGGCCCAAGATTGAACAGTGATGTTGAAGGCCTGATAAAAATAATCGAGCCCATGTCAAGGAAAGCCCGGAACATGGCCCAGCGCAAGGAATTAATTAGGAAACCTTTAGGACCATTGTAACAGTCTATAAATAGACTGAAAATAGAGGGAAAAAAGGGGAGAAAAATATTGAAGTGTAATAAAACTCTGTTGAAATTAAGAGAGAAATTTCTTGCATCTTCATATCCATATTAGGTTTTTATTTCTACATGGATCTTCACTTTCACTGGTATTTTCAATAGGACCGTTTATATTGAAATAATAAAAATGTCCATAGTAATTGAATTAAAATAAGTTAACGGGTTAATCGAGTTAAACTGACACGATTATGACACAACTAATTAAAAAGGTTGAGCCCTAAAACACTAGCACGGCACAATTAATTAAACGGATTAACACGAAAGTGTTTTAGTTCTTAAGAATAGGAAGAAGCACCAAGTTCCGGACCTGGGGGTAGTTCCCACTTTTCACTTCATTGGAGAATTGACCATCACATAACCTAGATATTGCTGCAAAATTAGATGTCTGTTAGATTTTGGAACAATTACCATTAAATTATATTATTCTCAAATATGAAGCAAGGGCACATAATTGGGGTGAAACTTACCTTTGGAAGACATAGAATCCTCAGTTTCCACATTCCCATTAGATTCATCATGTGGCACTGGTGCAGTAGGATGTTGGGCATCATCAGGGAAGTATGATTCTAGAGCATCCAAAACTCTAGGATCTTCATTAGAGGAAACTGGCCTCATGAAGCTCCGTCCAATGCACTCTGCATCAAATTTGGGTCTCGATATGTCTGATGCTTCAGATCTTCAATAAATCATTGACAGAAGTTAGTGTACATTTTGTTTATTCATAGTAAGAAACATATCGATCCTCTAGAATCAAATATTACAAGAGATAAATAGAGTTATCACAAAGAAAATTCCCCCAAAAAAGATTCATTGAAATTAAGGAACTTGTTTCAATTGTAATAACACACTGGACAATTTCATTTTGATGGGAGGTCCAAGCCTCCTAGCATAGACAATAATTAGAATTTAAATAAATAAAAAATTAATAGTAGGAATAATTAATTCCCCCCTTCTCTGTCGGTAGTAGGTGTATCTATATGGATAGAGTATCAATCATGAGGAACTAATTGATACACCACACAAACAATAAACAAGAAGGCTTGTTTTGTGTTCTCGTGGGTTGCAACCATGGTCCTTCAATCTAACGTCTTTAAGCTTCTTTCTTATAGGCCATGTAATTTTTGGTTGTGTAAACAAGCACAGTTTGAAAGAGAAAAATTACTCCAAACAAAATCAGGCTCACATATAGCACATTAATTGCACATACCCAAGAGAAAACCTTGATGAAGTAAAACCTTTAGTATGCGATTCCCCTTTGTTTTCCGAATCTACCAATTTGCTGACATCGAGTGAATGATCACGATGAACAGCTTTACATTTTAACATCTCTGCATTGTAGTCATGCCTTTGGATTGTTTCTTCGACATGATCGTCTTCTTCACCTCTCTTATTATTGGAGTCTTGCGTAGGTTGTTCCTGCACTTCATTCTGAAGATGAAAACGCATAAAGTCTGAAAATTGTGAAGCATGGCACTTTTCCTCAGAAGCCCTTTCCATGGGTACAATATTATCCTCTTGAGTGGTAGGTTTTCTCATTATAGACAAGATTTCATGGGCTGTACAAACAGAAACCGAAATAACTTGTAGTTCAGAACATGAAAATGCAAAGAAATGATAATATCAACAATAATGGTTTTTCAAAACCCAAGAAAAAGGGCCAAATGTTAATATAATTCCAAGTTTGATAATGTGTGTCTATGCAAGTTTTCATGTCATTGGCTATAACCTTCCCACGAGTCATTATAAGACTTAAGAGGCTGCTATTTTGCAAATACCCATGTATTTTAAACAAAACGTGAGATCAAAGACCAGTCAACAATGAGACAATATGGCAAACATAGAAAAGTACATCACGGATCTATGTAATCTTGAGATCTAATGTTCATGGACAGTTGAAAGAAAGAAAAACCTTCCGTACTAGCTTCAGACTAAGCAAGTGTAACTTGGACGAAGAAAGGAAGTGATACCTTCCATCAAAGTTAACAAATGCATCTATCTATGGACCTGGTAATGAGATGCTGGACAACGGTGATCTCTTAATTGACATAGTATGGACAGATAAAGAAAGTTGGATACCATATGCAATAATAAATCATTGCATTAAAATAAAAATAATAAGTAGATATTTCTATAGGTAGACACCAAACCAAGTCACAGTCAACTTACCATCACGTAAAGGCTTGTTTACAGCTATTCTCCCACTTAATTTAATGTTGTCAACATCAAAACTTCTACAATTTGAATCCACTTCTTTTCCTGAATAAGCATCGTTATGAGTTTCTCCTGCACACCCAAAGCCAATATATTAACAGTAGGAAAGATTAGGACTGATGAAAACATCAAATAAGAAAAGAGAAGAAACAAAACTCAAAAACTTTATAGCATGTATTGATTGGAGGCCAGGTAATAATTAGTCATTGGTAATCCAAAAATGATAAATGAGAACCCAAAGTATTGCTTATTGAAAGTTTGAAACAGAACTACACCTTCAGGACATGTCCGTGGCTCACCAACCTCCACCAAATACTTTGGAAGTTCAAATGCACTTCCAGTTCTCACATCTTCGGATAACTTGAGGTATTTACTGCTCAGAATTGTTCCATCTTCATTTAGCAAAGTGGCCTGACATGCTTGACAGGATTAGTCAAATAGCAAAGGATGATAGATGAAACTTGGTTATGCCTCTCATCACCTACCAAGTCTAATATTCAAAATGGAAATGTTTAATGGCACAGGGTGCTCAAAAGGATACCTGAAACTTAATCCCACATTATTGTTTATGGTATTTATTGTAAGTTTTTGCATGTCAAAGAATACCATATATTAATTGGCAATAAGAGACTGAACCTCTCAAATTTATGGTAACCCTTGCCATTCAAGAGCTTTTTGGCTCCATGGAGACACTAGACATGATTCTTGAAGCGGTAGCCTGTGTTGCTAAGTTACATTGGCCAAGCAAAGTCTTTCTTGAGGATGTTTATTATAACTAATTGTAAATGAAATCAACAGAGGTGAACCATGGGAATTGAGAATCTGGGCTACAAAGGCTAACTAACTATTCTAAACCAAAAGGTTATATAGAAGAGTGGTCACTGCACTACATGTCAAAAGCTGTTTCAAATAGTTTTATTAGTAAAAAAAAGCGCATGGGATCTTTGGTTGAATGTCTGATATCTAATTCCAACAGTGGGATTTGGGTATAAAATCTATCTAAGAAAGTAAGGCTGACCCAAAATACCATTAAGCTAGCTACAAATGGAACTAATAACAGCAACTCTCATATTAAAGATGGGAAATGTGATATCTCCAATAATGCTATCAAATAATTTCTGTGTTTTGAAAGAAAAACACAAAACAAGAAGCCAAAAACAAAAATAAAATAAAATAAAATAAAATTAAGCATGCTAAATTCAGATACCAAGAAAAAAGAAATAAAAGTTGCATTAACCCGTAAATAGTTGAACATCAAGTTACATATAATAATTGAATGGGTTGTTTGACTATTAAGTGAGAATTATACTTGAGTATGACTAGGAACTATTAGCAGGGGACTATATATATTAAAAAGAGGAAGAAGAAGAAGAAGAAGTTCGACCAAACAAACATATGATTGGGTACAAAGAGCCATTAATTACAATGAGCTCTGTTAATTCAGCAGATAACACATCAGTTCAGCAAGAATATCAGTATTAGTATACCTAAATGAAAGTGTGAGATATAATTCACAATTTAAGGTTCATTGAGTAAAATACAAGCATTAGGCTGCTATAAGTGCACAATGACTAATAATTTCCTTAATTGACTAAATTAGCTTGTTCACAACAATTTGCTAATGAAGCATATGCAAACCGAGTTAGTGGTAGGCATGTCCACTAAAATTTCATGTGAATGCCTGATCGCATCCCACAAGATGACTCACAGAAATACTTAAAGGCAAGGAGTGGAGAGTTTACATAAAACAACCTGCATACGGTAGGAACCACAAAAGGCAAGTCTGAGGATTCCACTGTGGTATTTCTTCATTTTCTGAGTTATCTGAGTAGTGAAAAGAGCATGCCATTCTGCATTGTGAAGAATATAAGTGGATAAAAATGCTGCTGGGATGATATGCAGAAAATAACCAAAGGCAATATAAAAGAATAATGCATAGTTCTTTGTCTGCACTGCAATCAGAGAACTTGGACTCTTTTATACTGACATGGGGAAATGTTCATAAAAAGAGTTGTATTTGACAGAGATTGGGGGTTCCTATCATAATGAATGACTACTTTACAGAGGGATTCACTGCAAATGCTAGCATGGCTTGCACGACGGGCTATTAGCTCAGTGGTAGACCGCGCCCCTGATAATTGCTTCGTTGTGCCTGGGCTGTGATGCTCTCAGCCACATAGATAGTTCAATGTGCTCAGCAGCGCAAGTGTCCATATTGCATGAAAGTGGTACAGCTAAAACAAGTCTTATTGCAATTACAACTAAATCTGATAGGTGTACAAAATGTACTTGTACCACAAACTAGAACTTGAATGTAATCTTCCCACCAATTGGCCTTAACTTTATATGAGAAACTTGGGATTCATTTTACTTGCCTATGTGGTCCTAAAAACAAGTTTTGAAATGACATAGAACCTCTATCCTAAAGCGAAAGAACAACAAGATCTGAATTTCAATTTTAATAATTAAAAGTTTGAATATGAACAGCATCAACAGCAACAACTTACAAAAAATTCAACTTTATGTCAAATTTAAAATGAAACTGAAGGCAGATACCAACTACATCTATGGAACTTGTCAAAATTGAAAAGAGAACTGGAAAATGAAGAACACAAGGATATACGTGGTTCAACGACTAGGGCTTACATCCACGGCACACAAAGCCCAAAGGACTACATATATTATACTCTCTTAATTTTGTACACAATGATCACCTCTATTTTGACTTCAACCATACCATAAATATGAAAAATGCTATAAATATGAAAAATATATTGATAGAAAAAATCCTAAAATCACTCCCATGATTCACTCATATCAATATTCTATCAAGGAGTGATTTAATTCAACAAACCCCACCCCTCCAAGTTGGTACGCGGAGATTTTAACTCTAACTCAAGTTGCCAACCTGAAACTAAAGACGAAGTTGTTGAGAGTCTGAGACGAGTTGGTCTGGAGATCTGAGACGAGTTTATTCAGAGATCCGACACGAGTTGATTCGAAGATCCCGAAATGAGTTGATTCAAAGATCCCGATACGAGTTGATTCGAAGATCCGAGATGAGTTGAACCAAAAATCCAAGACGACTTGATCCAGAGATCTAACCGAGTTATCCAAATGATAACATTCGGGATTATGCAGGATCTGAGACGAGTTGATCCTGAGATCTAAGATGAGTAAAGTATAGAGTAGGGTATGATAAACCCGCTTTGAGCCTTTGATACCATAAGTAAATAATGAAATAGAAGCGAAGAGAGAAATAAAATGTGTAGAACACAAAAATATTATGTGGTTCAACCACTAGGGCTTATATCCATGGCACACAAAGCACAAAGGGCTACTACATATCTTTATTATACTCTCTTATTTTTGTATACAATGATCACCTCTATTTATAGGTGAAAGAATACAAACATGCCATAAATATGAAAAATATATTGATAGAAAGATTCCTCAAATCACTCTCATGATTCACTCATATCAATATTATATCAAGGACTGATTTGAGGGATTCAATCATTCCTATAATAATATTCTCCAACACAACTATTAGAGTGCCACTAAGTATCGTATAAAATACTCGACACTAACTTAAGACGTTTTTTTTTTCATCACAAATATAAGATAAAATTATGCCCACTAAATATCAGAATGAAGTTGGCAAAAAAATAGATTAGAAATACAAGAAATGAATAACCTACCTTCACATACCAAAGGGAAAGTTTAAAATAGAAGAACTAAATCGTCATCATAAGAGATGCAACAACTTGTACTGACCTCTCACAGCAGTTTTAGTGGCTTTAAGACAATTCGGTGGGGACCCACTGTTACTCAATTCCGAAATTCCACAATCTATAAGGGGAAAATAAAAAACAAACATGAATTGTCAGATGGCAGAAGAAAATTTTGTTAGTGATACAAAAGAGAAAGACGATGATAAATAACCAGTACAAAATAGCCCTTTCATGTGAAGAGTTGAAGAGCACATATATAATTGGATGCTTCACCAGATTGCAAAGCAGTAACCAGTTGAGTGCAAATTAACGTACCTACAAAAGAACCATGCCGAGCCTGTTGACCATGTAGTAACCCTGTTTTTCCAACTGCATTGCAACTTCTTTCTTGAACATTCAAGTCCTTTGGAGACTTATGATCCCCTTCAGGTACTCCTATGTCAACCAAATGACAATTAAAAGCTAGTGATTCACCAGATCCAATCACTTCATCCTTTGTAAGGAATCTGCTATCTAAGAGCCTTCTGCTTGCATCGTACAGTGTGACCTGTACATCAACCCAGAAAAGTATTCGGAACATTGTGCTTTGTATGCAGAGGGAACCAAAGCAACAAAAAGCAAAATTAATGACTATAACACAATAAAAAATGATAGTAATGTATCAATATGACGAGCATGCAAAACTGCATCACTAGAGAATATATTTTGAACTAAGTGTTATTCACTTATGTCAATGGACCAGACAGCTAGCCTTCTTGTGGAAAGTATGTCAGCATGATCCAAATAAAATGAGATGATCAATGCAATACCTAGAAATACAAGGTCCTTAGCAGTGCTGAAGGCCCACCTTTTCATGTATATTATGAAGCCAATCCAACAAACTTTCTGCAACTGATGGCAGTATGCCATCCATAAGAATTCAGAGAGCTAGAATCTAAACCTCTTCACAACTCCCCTTCCAGAAAATACAAATAGATAAAACAAAACCACTTATAAGCCTGAGAAAGTCACAAACTTTACAATTTGAAAACTGACAGGTTAATTAAGTTCTCTTAGTGTTCAAATGTAATCCTCAATCAGGCATTCAAAATCCCAAATTTTTATTTTCCAAACTGATTATATACCGCAGTGCTGTACTCCTTGTGAAGTCCTAAATTCATTAAATGATAGGAAGAGCAACCAATGTCAAAAATTAACTCCCAAGGTTCAATTTTCACTTGAAAAAAAATCCAAAGAAATGATTAGGTGGGAAAAAAATAGACATGCCTCAAACTACATGCTACTATAATAAGGTTTGAAACAGTTAAGGGACCCACTTTTCATATTAACTTTCCTCTCTTGCCTTAGAAGATCACATTAATAACAATGGATCTCTTCAATCTAAACAATTCAAAGAATAATCACTCTGATGATAAATTGGCTTTGTATAACCACCACACAAACTGTTTTCCTTTTATATCCACAATTAATTGTCACGATTTTAAACTTGAGGTATAATATAATGTATAACCCAGGTATCTCTACGTGTGTGTGACATTCTTAAATTCTGTATCCAACTCATCGCTTGAAGAGCTTTGAAAAAAAAAAAAAAGTTACAAAATGGAATAAATATAGTAAACTCATCAATCAAATGCTAGCATCTTAAGAGAGAATATGGAAAAGCATTATGAATAACCACTGCCATAGCAAATTGTTTATGCACATCATCACATTCTGCTGTATTTTTATAATCATATAGCTTCAAATGAACATCTAGAAATAAGAAGTTATTATTTGAATATCCCTAAATAACATAAGGAAAAAGAAATAAATAAAAAAATGTTAGTTGTTGGGACCTATTGAAGACCAACCTGCCTCCCTTGGGAACCACAAGATGCAACCTTTAAGATACCATCATGATATTTCTTCACTTTTTGAGTTATTTGTGTAGTGTACAGGACCTGCCATTCTACAATGAAAAACATAGGAAGAAAAAAAGAAAGAATAAATAAAGGAAAAAGTCAACCAGGAAAAAGGAAAAAGAAGATAATAAAACAGAATGCAAGGGTTCCTAAGAGAAAAACCATGAAGCTCATGTCTGCAGTTAATCCTCAATCAAATAGATCATTCCATATTGTCATTCACTATTATTTAACTGCATTGATAATTGTGATGCACAAGTAGAGATAATTTGCAGCCAGCCTGATCCATATGTTTGCACATCACATAGGATAGCATTATTTGTTATACGGCACTTAAAGAAGTAATTTTCTCTCTATGCTTGTTCCGTTAATTCATTTTATCATTTTTAATTATTCTGATGCATATTGTTCTTAAAATGGGGTTCAATATATCATAGTACTACAACAATCATGTCTGCATGAGACCAAAGTTCTCCATTAACATTACAGTTTAATCAGATGTCAGCATCAGGCACATTGCCAGAGAGAAGTCTAGTAAATAATAAACCACCAAATGTGGTGATGGCTGTGAGCAGTTTAACACTTCAATTACACTGACATAAATATAGAATTTATCATGAAGATGGTCAGTCTTCATATATGTTTAAATGCCATCCCTTGGATTTAACACATCCAAATCTGACATAATTAGATCAATATACATCAAAATGTATTTTTCTTTTTCTTTTTCTTTTTAAATTATTTTATTTTTATGGTAATGAAGGCATCATTTGAATCCATAGTATGGACATATAAAGAAAGCTGGATACATTGGAAATGATAAATGATTGCATTCAATTTTTAAAAAAAAATTCAAAAAGTATATAGGTAGACACCAAACCAAGTCATAGTCAACTTACCATCATGTAAAGGCTTATTTACAGCCATTCTCCTACTTAATGTAATGTTGTCAACATCAAAACTGCTACAATTTGAATCCACTTCTTTTCCTGAATAAGCATCATTATGAGTTTTTCCTAAACATCCAAGGCAATACCTTAAAAGTAGGAAAGATTAGGACTTATGAAAGCATCAAATAAGAAATAAGAAAAGAAAAGCAAAACTCAAAAACTTAATAGTATGTACTCATTGGAGGCCATGTGATAACTAGTCATTAGTAATCCAAAAAAGATAAATGAGAACCCAAAGGTTTGCTTATTGAAAGTTTGAAACAGAACTACACCTTCAGGACATGTCCGTGGCTCACCAACCTCCACCAAATAATTTGGAAGTTCAAATGCACTCCCAGTTCTCACATCTTCGGATAACTTGAGGTATTTACTGCTCAGAATTGTTCCATCTTCATTTAGTAAAGTGGCCTGACATACTTGACAAGATTAATCAAATAGCAAAGGATGATTGATGAAACTTGGATATACCTCAAGTTGAAACATAATCCAAAATGGAAATGGTTAATGGCACAGGGTGCTCAAAAGTATACTTGAATCATAATCCCACATAACTGTTTATTGCATATACTTTAAGTTTTTGCAAATCCGAGAATATCATATATTAATTGGCAATAAGGGACTGAGCCTCTCAAATTTATGGCAACTCCTGCCATTCAAGAACTTTTTGGCTCCATGGAGACACTTGGCATAATGCTTGAAGCGGTAGCCTGTGTTGCTAAGTTACATTGGCCAAGCAAAGTCTTTCTTGAGGACATTTATTATAACTAATTCTTGACTCTGGGCTACAAAGGCCAACTGATGATTCTAAACGAGAGGGCTATATAGAAGAGTGGTCACTACACTACATGTCAAGTACTTAATTGTGAAACTCTAAAGCTGTTTCAAATAGTTTTATTAGTGAAAAAAGCGTATGGGATCTTTGGTTGAATGTCTGATATCAAATTCCAACAGTGGGATTTGGGTATAAAATATATCTAAGAAAGTAAGACTGACCTGAAATACCATTAAGCTAGCTACAAATGGAACTAATAACAGCAACTATCATATTAAAGATGGGAAATGTGAAATCTCCAATAATGATACCAAATAATTTCCGTGTTTTAAAAGAAAAACACAAAAACAAGAAAACCAAAAAAAACAAAAACCAAAAAAAATAGATAAATAAAATAAAATAAAATAAAGCTTGCTAAATTCAGATATCAAGAAAAAAGAAACAAAAGTTGTATTAACCCTTAAATAGTTGAACATCAAGTTACATATAATAATTGAATGGGTTGTTTGAATATTATGTGAGAATTATACTCAAGTATGAACTATTAGCAGGTGACTGTATATATTAAAAAGAAGAAGAAGAAATTCAACCAAACAAACATATGATTGGGTATATAGAGCCATTAATTACAATAAGTTTTGTTAATTCAGCAGATAATTATATATCAGTCCATCAAGAATATCAGTATTAGTATACCTAACTGAAAGTGTGCAATATAATTCACAATTTAAGGTCCATTGAGTAAAATACAAGTATTAGGCTGTTATAAATGCACAATGACTAAATTAGCTTGTATAAATCTCTTCACAAATGAAGCACATGAAAACCGAGTTAGTGGCAGGCATGTCCACTAAAATTTCATGTGAATATACTGAGTGAATGCCTGATCGCATCCCATAAGATGACTCACAGAAATACTAAAGACAAGGAGTTTAGAGTTTACATAAAACAACCTGCATACGGTAGGAACCACAAAAGGCAAGTTTGAGGATTCCACTGTGGTATTTCTTCGCTTTCTGAGTTATCTGAGTAGTGAAAAGAGCATGCCATTCTGCATTTTGAAGGATACAAGTAGATAAAATGCTGCTAGGATGACATGCAGAAGATAACCAAAGGCAATATCAAAGAATCATGTGTACTTCTTTGTCCGCACTGCAATCAGAGAACTTAGACTCCTTTGTACTGACATGGGGAAATCTTCATAAAAAGGGTTGTATTTGACACAGATTGGGGGTTCCTATCATAATGCATGACTACTTAACAAAGGGATTCACAGCAAATACTAGCATGGCTCGCATGACGGGCTATTAGCTCAGTGGCAGAGCAAACCCCTGATAATTGCTTCATTGTGCCTGGCTGTGAGGCTTTCAGCCACAATGATAGTTCAATGTGCTCATCAGCGCAAAGTGTTCATATTGCATGAAAGTGGTAAAGCTAAAACAAGTTTTACAAGCAATTACAACTAAATCTGATAGGTATTCAAAATGAACTTGTTCTACAGACTGGAACTTGAATGTAATCTTCCCACCAATTGGCCTTAACTTTATATGAGAAACTTGGGATTCATTTTACTGGCCTATGTGGTCCTAAAAATAAGGTTTGAAATGACATAGAACCTCTATCCTAAAGCAGAAGAACGACAAGATCGGAATTTCAATTCTATTATTTAGAAGTGTTGAAGGATTTAAATATTAAAGTTACACACTCTATAACAGCTTAAGCTTTTGGAGTAGATGATTGTTAACATGGTATCAAAGCCAAAGGTCTCAAGTTCAAACCTCACCGTCACCTTGAAAATTAAAATTGAAGACACGTATTGGACCAAAAGAAGGCCCCACGTGAGGGAAGTGTTGAATGATTTAAATATTAAAGTTACACACTCTCTAATAGCTTAAGCTTTTGGAGTAGATGGTTGTTAACAAAAAGTTTGAATATGAACAGCATCAACAGCAATAACTTACAGAAAATTCAGCTTTACTGTCAAATTTAACATGAATTTGAAGGCAGATACCAACTATATCTATGGAACCATTAGAGTACCATTGAGTATAGCATAAAATACTCAACACTAGCTTAAGACAGTTTGTATTTCATCACATTATATAAGATAAAACCATGCCCACTAAAGGTCAGAAGCAAGGGAATACAAAAAATGAGAAAACTATATTCACACGAAAGAGAAAATGAAGAATAGAAGAATTAAAAAGTCATCATAAGAGACTTGTACTGACCTTTCACAGCAGTTTTAATGGCTTTAAGACAATTCTGTGGGGACCCACTGTTACTCAATTCCGAAATTCCACACTCTATATGGAAAAAAGAGACAGAGAGAGAGAAGGAAAAAAAGCAAATAAAACATGAATGTCAGATGGCAGAAGAAAATTTTGTTAGTGAATACTGATACAAAGAGAAAATTGATGATAAATTATTAGTACAAAATAGCCCCTTCATGTGAAGAGTAGAAGAGCACATATATAATTAGATGCTTCACCAGAATGCAAAGTTATAACCAGTTGAGTGCAAATGAACGTACCAACAGAAGAACTATGCCGAGCTTGTTGTCCATGTAGTAACCCTGTTTTTCCAACTGCATTGCAACTTCTTCCTTGGACGTTCAAGTCCATTGGAGACTTATGATCTCCTTCAGGTACTCCTATGTCAACCAAATGACAATCAAAAGCTAGTGATTCACCAGATCCAATCACTTCATCCTTTTTAAGGAATCTGCTATCTAAGAGTCTTCTGCTTGTATCGTAAAGTGTGACCTGTACATGAACCCAGAAAAATATTGTGAACATTGTGAATTTTTATGCAGAGGGAACCAAAGCAACAACAAACAAAAAATAATATCTATAACACGCAATAAAAAATGATAGTAATGTATCAATGGGAAGAGGACACACAACTGTGTCAGTAGGGAATATATTAAACTAAGTTATTCACTTGTATCAATGGACAGGACGGCTTGCCTTCTTGTGGAAAGTATGTCAACATGATCCAAGTAAAATGAAAGAATCAATGCAACACCAAGCAACATAAGGCCCTTGCAGTGCTGATTGCCCACCTTTTCACGTGTATTATGAAGCCAATCCAACAAACTTTCTGCAACTGATGGCAGGATGCCATCCATAAGAATTCAGAGAGCTAGAATCTAAACCTCTTCACAACTCCCCTTCCAGAAAATATAAATAGATAAAACAAAACCACTTACAAGCCTTAGAAAGTCACAAACTTTACTATTTGAAAACTGACAGGAAAATTAAGTTCTCCTGGTGTTCAAATGTAACCCTCAATCAGACATTCATAATCCCAAATTTTTATTTTCCAAACTGATTATATACCCAGTGCGGTACTCCTAGTGAAATCCTAAATTCATTAGATGATGAGAAGGGCAACTAAGGGCAAAAAATTAACTCCCAAGGTTCAATTTTCACTTGAAAAAATCCAAAGAAATTATTAGGGAAAATAAAAAAATAGACATGCCTTAAACTACAATTTTTTTTATATAAGTAACATGCCTCAAATTACATCCTACTATGATAAATTGTGAAGCAGTTAAGGGACCCACTTTTCTTATTAACTTTCCTCTCTTACCTCAGATGATCACACAAATAACAATGGATCTTTTCAATCTATACAATTCAAAGAATAATCACTCTGATGAGAAATTGGATTTGTATAACCACCACACAAACTGTGTTCCTTTTTTATATATACACGAATTAATTGTCACAATTTTTAAACTTGAGGTAAAATACCAATGTATAACCCAGGTATCTCTATTGTGTGTGAGATTCTTAAATTCTGTATCCAACTCCCTCGCTTGAAGAGCTTTGAAAAAATAAACTAAAAAAAAAAAAAAAAACTATAAAATGGAATTAATATGACATGAATTATGATTTAACTATTACAACAGAATCGCACTCATCAAGTGCTAGCATCTTAGAGAGAAAATATGGAAAAGCATTATGAATAACAACTGCCCTAGCAATATGTTTATGCACATATCACATCTGCTGTCTCTTCATAATCATATAGCTTCAATGACCATCTAGAAATTTGCAATTATTTTTTAATCTCTCAAAATAACACAAGGTCAAAAAAATAATAATAATAATTAAAAAAAAAAAAAAAAAAGATGTTAGTTGTTGGGACCTATTGAAGTCCAACCTGCCTCCCTTGGGAACCACAAGATGCAACCTTTAAGATACCATCATGATATTTCTTCACTTTTTGAGTTATTTGTGTAGTGTACAGGACCTGCCATTCTACGATGGAAATAAAACAAAAAAGAATAAAGAAAAAAAAAAAGTCAACCAGGAAAAATAAGATAATAAAACAAAATGCAAGGGTTCCCAACAGAAAAACCTCAATCTAATAGTTCATTCCATATTGTCTGTTGCAATTTTTTGACTCCGTTGATAATCGTGATGCACAAGTGAAGATAATTTGCAGCCATTGCACATCAAATACAATAGCATCATGTGTTATTCAGCACATAAAAGAAGTAATTTTCATTTTATCATTTTTATTTTATTCTGATTTATATTCTTCTTAAAATGGGGTTCAAGATATCACAGTAGTACAACAATCATGTTTGCATGAGACTAAGTTCTTCATTAACTTTACAGATTAATCAGATGTCAGCATCAGGCACATTGCTAGAGAGAAGTCTTGTAAATAATAAACCATCAAATGTGGTAATGTCTGAGCAGTTTAACACTTCAATTACATTGGCATAAATGTAGTATTTTTAATGAAGATAGTCAGTTTCCTGACATGTTTAAATCCCATCCCCTGGATTTAACACATCCAGGTCTGACATAATTTAATATATATATATATATATCAAAATGATTTTTTTTTTTTTTTTTTTTTCTGGTGATGAAGAAACAATCCACCCGCTAGCCACTTTTGACTCTTACATGGTTTGCAAATTCCTAATGCATGCACACCCACAAACCATGCGCTAAACACAGGCCTCACCTTCGAAGAGACTCTAACCAAATACCTAAGGGGAGTACCTCCAAAGGCACGTGCAGTCAATATATCAAAATGTATTGATATATTTATATAACATTAACTGTGACATCTTTCTTCAATAAACACAGTTTTGAGAACTTCATTGCAAAAAAGAATTCAATAGCCAGCTCCATCAATTTGGTATAAGGCCTATGAATTGGTACTCCAGACAGGTCAGGGAGACCATTGTTTATGGTGTTATGATTAACTGTTAATTTTTGCAGGCAGAATGATGATACTATGTATGCTGTATAGAAACTTGCAATTACGTGTGTTGTAAAATTTATGTCATATAACTCATACATGCAGCGTTGATAGGAGACAGAGATTTGATTACTTTCATACTTAATTTAGCATAATAAAATCACGAAACATCTAAATTTCTCTACTTCACATTTTTAAAGGCTCTCTAAATTAGTTAGCGCCACAAACCTAAACATTCTTGGTGGTGTTGTGGTTGGTATCTTATGCAACTACAGAAACTTCTTCATCCAGGTTTACTGTGTGAATCAGAATAATCATTTTTTGAGAGAGAAATATACATAGAGCACTATATGAAATATATTAGAATCAAATAGTGTCAAGCCGAAAGTAAGTTAAACCTATTAACAGTTTTTGTGGTAGCAATTGAAGAATGTTTTCATCTTCCACCATTTTGTTGAACAGAATTTTTTAAAAACAAGTCATTTGAAGTACTAAACTAAGTTTGACTTACAGAGGAAAAACTAACCAGTTGTGTTAACTTTTGTTGTCTCTGGATAAGGTTGTGCTCTGTACTTGTTCAGTTCAGTCCTTTTGAACTCTGAATACATAAAAACTATTATGGGTAAGCTAGGCTAAAAGCTCAAATGCTCAATGATGGATCAGGCTAGCCATATATAAGGTTAACTAGAAAATCCTGACATGCTGATGGACTTGTGCCATGGTTGTGTAAGGAGTGAAATATTTAATTCTCTTTATCAAGATCAACTAGTGCAAGAAAACGGGAACTCACAGACTTGTGTGGAGAGAACAAATCAAGAGAAAATTAATAGACATTATGTATCTATTCAACCTATGGAACTCGCACGTTACTTGTCCCAATGCCAGAAGCTATTATCCTGAACGACTTGGTGGATTTGACTGGAAAAGACTGACAGATCATTTCACTTTGCAAATGAAATTGAAGAAAAAATGAAAGTGATTGGACTAACCTCCGATAAATTTTTGCGATGGACTTAGATTACTTGTTGGTGCTTTATTCTTCCCTGAATTAGTCTTCCTGTCATCTGAAGGGAAAACAAACAGGATTTATAACAGAACAAAAAAAATAATGTGATTGAAATTTTGAGAATGAAAAAGTGCAAGGCATGGTATTGCAAACCACCAAAGAGTGGAAAAGAACCAATGTGATACCAGCAGAAGTTGAGTTATTCCTAAACTTTTTGCCACTGAGTGGCCCGGATTTCTCAGTTACTTTCTTATCTCTTCCTTGGAAATTCAAATCAGGTATCCGTTTCTGGTCCCCTTCAGGATCCCCAACATCAACAAGATAAGGATCAAATGTCAATGTTTCACCACATCTGACAACCTCATCTTTTTTCACAACCCTGCTAACCAGGAGCTTCTCACAATCATCATAAAGCATGATCTGCATGCAGATTAAATAAATGAGATCTAATAAAAAATTGCTTGACACAACGCAGCAACCTTTCAAACATAATCTATATCTAGAAGACAGAATTATTCACAGATATTTCAAGAATTAAAATCAGAAGTGGTTGAAATATTGATGCTCCACTGGAGACCTGACCTTGACTATGAAAACAGTTTGTTCTAAGGTTTTCTTTTGTTTTTCTAAAATCTTCCATCAATAAGACAGAGGATCGTAAAAAGAGGTAAAAAAAAAAAAAAAAAAAAAAAAAAAAGAAAAACTCTTTTTCGAGTTTGAATAATGAAACCTAACCTAAATTCTTCCAGAAAGGCCAATTGGAGTGTTAACCTAACTCGTTAGAGTGATTAAGCAAGTTTTATAGATCAGTTAAAGCAGAATTAGATAAGCTATGATGTACAGACTACAAATTTGTATCATCTGAACACAAATGATTCACATATTTCCGTTCAAATTTCTAGCAGCTCGCCAAATAATGTGATATGCACAATCTAGCACACAATATCTATGTGCTTGACATTTCAGTGAATTTCATTAGAATACCTAGAAAAAGTTCCATCTTAAATGAATGATGATTGATCATACATTCATACAACTCTTAAATCATACATTCATACAACTCTTAAAGAGTGTGCGTGTGTGTGGAGAGACTTCCGATAGAGAGAAATTGAAGGTGCGAATAAGCAAAATGTATGAGTATGAATATGATACCTTGTGGGTAGAGGTATGAAGTTCTAAGAGACCGTCTTGATAAACTTTGCGCTTCTGTTTGATGTGCTTTGTGTAGGTCACTGACCATCTCTTCACATCCCCCATTCTCACTGATCTCAGTTCTCGCCAATTATTCTAAATTTGAATCACTGGTTCGAAGAAATATCGGCAATTGAAGAATTTCAGGGCACAGATTTAGCAGATTTTCTTCGTCCGAAGCACTCACGCAGAGTGTCGAGAAACGCACACTTTCGAGGTGTTCCTTTTTGTTCCTGCTGGCGGGAAATTGCAGCAAAAATGTGTGCGCGCTGGTGCTCTAGAAGGTCCGTTTGGCAGCATGGATAACACCGAAGTTTGTTACAGAACGGGATGTCCTTGCACCCGTATAGGACATCCTTACACTAAGACATGCATAAATCTCCCACACATCATCCTTACACTAACACATGCATCAATTTACACTGGGTTGTACATAAACACATGCATAAATTTACACCAAGTCGTACGTAAGATTAGAGGGGGCCTTCTCCACTACCAAGGATGGAACATGTGGGTTAAGTGCTAACACCACTTCATAGTTTAATTTTTGGTTTGGACCTTGAAGCACTCGGCCTAATAGAATTGATATTAGAGTCCAATCTCAGGCCAAGCATCGCAAGTGTGCCCACCCAGGTGGTGCCCACGTGTAAGCTGGGTAAACAAGGTGGCCCCACGTCAAACCCATGGAGCAATTTTCTTTCTTTCTATCCCTCCATAAGCTCTATGTTTGTGAGTCATTTGAGTCTGAGTTTAAGGGTTCGAGCAGATTAGAGAGAGTATAACATGATGGTAGGGTTTGCTAGTTTATTTGGTTTGAAGTGTTGTTACAAGAGTAAGAAAAGATCATTATATCATGATAGAAAAACTCCATTAGAGACTATTGTTTAGCACCAAGCATAATGTAATTTGTCTTAAAAGATATAAAATTAGATAACTACAAGTTCTTTTATTTAAGGCAAAAGAGCAAAATACTCCCCTGTACTATGCCTATGTTACATAATGTCTCCTGAACTATTTTTTGAAGCAAGTTACCTGCTACTCCGTTCAAATATCAAAAGCAAGCAAAATGCCTCCTTAAAGGTCTTCGACTAACAGAAGAGCACAATTACTAATTTACCCTTACTTATTAATGTATTATAATAAATTGAAATATTTGCTATCATGAAATGACCACTTTGTCCCTATCTTCTTTCCCCTTTCATTTTTTCTCTTCGCGTTTTTTTTTTTTTTTTTTTTTTCGTGTCTCTGCTCTCTCTCTCTTTCACTTACTTCGCCACCCACCATCGCCACCACCCCTCCTCTCTCTTCTCCACTGATGTCGTTGCCCATCATCTTCACCTCATCCATGTCCGTATGATTATATATATATATATATATATATATATATATATATTTATTTATTTATTTATTTATTTATTTATATATAGGTGTGGACCATCTGACCAAATTTATCCCTTCATTATTGAAATTTATGTGTGATGGGAGAGAATAAATTAAAGGGGCTGTAACATTGAACCTTGGATGCTATGTTCACATGGGCATGTTTCACCTCCTTTTCCAACTGCTTACAATTTGGTACAACTACCAATTGGATCTACCAAAATGAATCTTGGGTTTTTTTTCATCTTCTTCTTGTTGTGCTTCTTCAACCTTGGATTGAGTTTTAATCTATGATGGATATTTTGAAGGGGAGAGACCAAAAAAGGTTTAAAAAAAAAAAAAAAATCAATCGGTGCGGTGGTTTTGTTGGGATTATGTGCCCTAAGATCTAATTATTTACTTTTAATATTCAACAATTAGTTAATAAATATGAATTATTAAATTAGATATTCATGCATTGGGTTTTTCATATATTTGCATGATGCATTTTAGTCCTCAAGTTGCATTTTAGTCCTCAAGTTGCATTATAGGTGACTTAAGTATGTGAAAGAGATTTACACACATGAGATTTAAGCTCATCGATTTCTTGCACATTGACATCATTCACAATCGGTGATAAAAGTTTGACACTTTTATCTGTAAGATTGTAACACACTTAACCTCTATGAGATAGGATAGTTTGTCTCGACCATTTGGGTAGTTGACTCTAAGTTAGTGTGTTAGTATACCTGGAGTACACTGAACTGGATCACCATAAGATCACACCATACAAATTACTGTTATTATTTTGGTGTGATTTTTATCTACTAGATACATTAAGCTCTAAATCCTGAAAAGTTTAATGGACTCAAGTTTCAGTATTGGTCATTTTGACTTACCAACGTGTAAGATCTTTTAATGTCCATACCATGGTATTTTGGGTGGCTAATGTTGGAGCTTTGGGAACACAAATGCTCAATATGGAATCCATACTCTATAAGAATTAGAATATCCCCTTGATGCAATTTAATAAGTTTGATCACTGGAACCTGTCCAGGGCATATTAGTAAAATATTTACTAAATTAATTTTCTATAATTTATTTTAAAAAATATTTATTTTGAAAATTTCTTTTATAAAAGAATTCAATTCAGTGATCATAAGGATTAAATTGGTTACTCAAGAAATATAAGAAGTAAGTATGTCTTAGGTGGAACAGTATTTATTTTCCTTGAGGTTACTTATGGATATTCGTTAATGGAGGGGCTTATATGTAATTATTTAGTAAGACAGGGACTTTTCATAATTTCTGAATCCTAGAGTGAAATTATAATACTATTTATTGTAATTAATTGGATAGGATAGAGTTATGAGATAACTTTATCTCTATCCAATTGGAGCCCTTTTGGATCCTCATCTCTAGCCCAATATTTTTATCGAAGTTTTTCTCTCTAAGTCTGTAGGGTGTGATATAGAAAATATATCTGTATGTAAAATACATAATACATAAAATAAGAGAGAATGTTAGGGTTCCACAAACCTACCATTGGGGTCATAGATGTGAAGACTCGCTGGTATTCAAGGCTAAAAAAGAAAGTGTTCATCGGAGTTCAAAGCCAAATAATAGTATTCTCGTATTTGACGATTATTCAATCATCCAAAGGTATGAAATCTCTTTCAGTACTTCTTGATTTGATGAAATATCATCTGGTCATGATCCAAAAAAATTTATAATCGTTTCTGTTTTGTCTTCAATTGGTATCTGAGCAAACTACAAAATTTTCATTAAATCATAGTATGGATTGAATTTAATGATAAAATATTAAGAGCTATTCATTTCGGTAAATATTCTGTGCATGGATGTTCGGTTATTTTTATCTATTTTATTCGATGAATATGCTATATTGATGTCTGATCAATTGACCCATGTGATGGGTTCTCGTTGTTGTTTAATATATATGTGTGTGTGTGTGTGTGTGTGTGTGTGTGTGTTGGACATAACGGTTGCACTGTGGCAGCCATGATATGTTTTCTATGGTGATCCAAGTTTATATTTTATAGTTTCTTGTAAAAGTAATAAGATAATAATAATAAATAAATAAAAGGCACAGTTCCAACAGCTGCCAAAGGTAGCCACTTTTGGTATATATGGTGTTAAGAACATGCCCATGTGATGGGATGTTCATCAAGCAATTAAAAAATAATTAAAATAATAATAAAAGGTTACCTTTTGATTATTTATAGAGTACCAGTGTGTGTAATATTATATTTAATTCTATTAAGTCTCTAATTTGCATCATTTGATATTAATTAATTTAATATTATTTTGATTAAATTAATGAATCGAGTGAATCGAGTGCAGTCCCTGTGATCATATCACACCCATGTGATGGCATAGAGTGGGTCTATTATGTTATCATAGTAATTTTTTTTTAGGGTAAAATGCAAAAAAAACCTCTCGAACTATTGGCAAACATGTAAACAACCCCCCTGAACTACAATTTTTGCAAAATACCCCCTGAACTAGTTAATTTTGTTGCATATTGCCCCCTCCGATAATAATCCGGCCAAAAATGACCCTAAGTTGAGCATGTGTGTGTCACGTGACATAGAAATTGAGTTTGATGGACAATATTGCTCTTATGAACCTTAAAGGACTAATTTGCCCTTGTTTATGACCGTTGCAGCCAAACACGCCTTATATATACACACGACACACTTGCATATATATACCCAACCGTTGGAACCCTAACCCAATTTTCAGAAAACCCCTAAATTGATTCATTATACCTCTCAATCCCTATCAATACCTACTCGTGGTGGTATCTCCTCTCTCGCGCTAAAGGGTTCGTGTTTGATTCATCACACTCTCTCTGTTTGTCGTGATATATTCCTCTTTGTCACTGTCGTTCATAATCGAGTAAAAGGTAATAATTTGTCTCCTATTGGATCTGTTTTGTGATATGGTATGTGTGAGATCATGATTAATGGATAAGGATAGTGGTTTAGGTGGCATTAATTGATGAATTAAGTGTCGTTTGCCTTTGTAACATAACTGATGATGTTAATTTGATGTATATGGAAATGTAATTGAAGATGGAAGGGGATTGGAATACATGGAATCCTTGACATTCAATTTGGGGACTCTTGTTTTGAGCCACAGTTTAGAAAGATTCTTATTGCAGAAAATAGAGTAATCCAATGATGGTCAGTTGTGGCACGCCATTGAAGACCCAAAGCTTCATCACTGTGAACCATATAAAAGACCCAAACTGGTGAGCTACAGAACAAACCCTACTATGAACGCTTCACAGACCAAAAGGGTAAGAGCTTACCCAACATCTTTAAGCCTCTTTACATTCATATTTTGAAACGGTACGGTGAGGCTGAGGTTTTTAGGACAATCGTGCCGTCCATGGTGACCCTAGAATCACCGCCATCCAGGTGAGTGTAGCCGATCTGCGTCATCGGTGGTGGCGTCGTTCAGTAGTTAGAATCGAAGCTAGGGTTTAACCTCACCCAAAAGTTCGACTTCATCTGTAACCAGATCCACCTCCTCATCCAACCTCAAACCCCCCCGCCACCGCCACAACACCACCACCACCTCCACACATGATTTTACACTTTAAGAATAGATTTCAGATCTAATCCTTATATCCTTAGGCTTGACTCTGTGACCTTATTACTTGAGCAATAACAAGTTCTTCACTGTTAATTTGATCATCAGCATTGGTGCATGAGAGTAATAAGAGAGGTGTTAGGGTCTTCAGTCACTTTGTAGCAAGAAAGGTGTTTAGGGTTTCAACAAGTTGCAAAGCTATGCAACTGGTAGGTGGTGATGAAGACAGAAACTGGTGCAAATGGCTTGGATCAATTGTGTGGTGGAGGGAATATAAGCATCATACCTCATCATAACTGGTGAGTTATCCACTTTTCATCAGTCCTTCAGATTTCCCTTTCCACCTTATCAACTGAAGCTTTCATTTACCTTAAACTGCGTCGTTTTACTAAGGGTACTTCAGTCTTTTGGCTTTTCCGGTACCGGAATCTTTGTCCAAGGACTAAATTGTAACAAATTCATAGTATAAGGGGTTTTTTTTTGTAGTTCAGGGGGTTTATTGCAATACCCGAATAGTTCGAGGGTTTTTTTTATTACCATGGTACATAGCAGTTCAACAGCTGCTGGTTCAGGGGACTTCCCAT